AAGACTAGAAGACAACCCAAGAAGAGGACCAGATTGAGAACGAGTAGTTTGGACTAACGCATGAACTATCTTATTCGTTGATCGAGGAATGAACAAAAATCACAAAAATCTAACTATATTGAGAACCGCTTTCACAATTTACTAGGAACGAAAACAACTGAATAAGTTGACTTGAAGAACTAAAATTTCAAATTTTTTCTTCCAAAAATATACTCGGAATAATATTTTTTTCAAGTAAAAATAGAAAAAATGAGTCAAATAATACAAGTAAAACTGTCATTGAAAATAGGGATCAAGAATGGATCGAATAAATTATTCATGTTATGTTAGGTATTATGACTGAAGCCCAGCGTTGTGCCTTCCCATATTTTCCGATAGATAATTCTAAGGAATACAATTACTAAAAACAAATTTCACTAATTTATGCATAAAGTACAGTAAGACGAATTAAAATTTCTCCATATTCACACATTGAAACCAATGATATGTTAATAATAATTTCTGCATAAAGTGAAGCCCTGCGTTGTGCCTTCCCATCTTTAGTTAGGATGCAAATTGATAAGACCCGACAACTACTTTATATGTGACACCATTATATATATATATATATATATATATATATATATATATATATATATATATATATATATATATATATATATATATAGAATCGCACTGAGGTGCGAATGCTTCGCCCAGGAGCGAAATAGGAATGGATTCTGTCTGTCCACGTGTCCATATCTAATGGATGAGAAACACTGATTTTCTTTAAAAAGCTCGGTGGCATTTTTGTAAATAATTGAACATCGAAGTGCATAAAATGTATTACAAGTGCATGTAAAATGTATTATAGGTGCAAGTAAAAATTTACACTGAGCATCAATACTAAGTGTACCATAGTTATAAGTAGTTGCACATATAGTTCTAAATAGTTGCAGGCATAGTTATAAGTAGTTGCACCTAGGTGCATGAATGTTTGCGGGTGATTTTTAGGGGTATTACTACCCGCTGAACTCAGATCAATGAATGTTAACAAGACAAAATTACATGCACTTATAGGTGAAAGTAGGTGCACCTATAGTTATAAGTAGTTGCACCTATAGTTATAAATAGTTGCATCTATAGTTATAAGCACACGCAGGTGCATGAATGTTTGCGTGAAGTGAATGCTAACAAGACAAAATTACATGCACTTATAGGTGAAAGTAGGTGCACTTGTAAGTGATTTTACTTGCACTCCGATGTTCAATTATTTACAAAAATGCCACCGCATTTTTTTAAAACTATTATATCTGAACACCTGTCGCGCGCTGATTCGTTCGCATATTCCTTCCTGAACACTTATTCGCACCTGAGTGCATCCCTATATATATATATATATATATATATATATATATATATATATATATATATATATATATATATATATGTATGTATAACCCGGCCAATAGGGTAGCCCAAGTGGTAAATGAGCTCTCTTTGTGGGGGAGAATTTCGGGATAAACCGGGTCCTGCAAGTGATGATCCTCTTTGGGCGAAATAAGCTCTTAGCTTCCTAACTTATTTTCTCTTATCCTTTATCTGCAACTTTCTCCGCAAATATTATTATTATTATTATTATTATTATTATTATTATTATTATTATTATTATTATTATTATTATTATTGTTATTGTTATTGTTATTGTTATTGTTATTGTTATTGTTATTGTTATTGTTATTGTTATTGTTATTGTTATTGTTATTGTTATTGTTATTATTATATTATTATTATTATTATTATTATTATTATTATTATTATTATTATTATTATTATTATTTTTTGGAAGAACGGAGGGATGAACCCGAGATGGATCTAGTGGGTGGCGTCGCGCGGTGTCCTAGCACCAACGCTATCCTCCCAAACGACGTCCTCAACAATCTGAGGCATGGTAATATAAGCCCGACTCCCCAAATCATGATTAAGAGCATCCGCGGCCAAGCGATCCGCAACTCTATTTTGTTCCCGTCTCACATGTTTAAACTCCAAATTTGCGAACTTGCCTCTCTCTCGATCACAAAGCTGCAGAATATTGTCATTGTCTCTAGCATCAAAACCGCTCCCAGCAGGGCGGTTAATAACCCCCAAAGAATCGCTTTCGACGACGAGGTTTCTGGCGCCACTGTTAATCGCATGCCGGAGGCCGTGAAGTACCGCCCAGGCCTCTGCCACCTCCGCCGAGCATGATCCAAGATTGCACGTGAAGCCTACGATCCAGCGCCCCGCATGGTCTCGTAAAATACCGCCGCAACCCGCCTTCCTATCCACTCCTTTGCAGCATCCATCGACGTTCATCTTCTACCATCCCTCTGCTGGCTTCTCCCACGCCGCACTCTCTCTGCCGGGTCTCCTAGCCATCGGACCAGGTCCCCATCTGTTCCGGAAAGCTTCTATAATCTCGTCTCGTTGATTGATGATCACCTCCTTCCGCTTTGCCAAATTGAGACGCGTCCCTTCGAATATTCTGGTGTTACGCCACCTCCAGCACCACCACATGCTAACACCGAAAGTAGTCTGCCAGTCCTCCTCAAAGCCCAGCCTATGATCAGCTCTCAAGTTTGTAGAAAACCACTCCTCCCAGCCTTTCGTACGTAGCATTTGCGTTACTCGCCATGGCATGAGCATCTCCCAAAAATCAGCCATCTCCACGCAATCTCTGAAGATATGAGCAACTGTCTCCGGGACACCTGCACAAAATGGACACATCATGTTAGTAATGAAATGCCTCTTATGCCGCTTAACGTTTGTCATAATCTTCTCTTGTTTCACCAGCCACAGCAAGTGGTTCATTTTGTTTGGAATCCTGATCTTCCAAACTAACTCCCAGTCCCTATCCACTGGAGCCAGTTCCGGTGTTTGAAGAGCAGCGTATGCCGAGGCAATCGTGAACTTTCCATTCGTGTCAAACCTCCAGCCCCAATCATCTCCTCCGTCAACATTGTCTAGCACAGCAATCGCGTGGAGTTTATCCTTCCAAGGGTCATCCAGAACGCCGTCGATCAACTCCCACTTCCACCCCCTGCCATTCTCCCAGTAGTCCGCCACGGGTGCGTATAGCTCCGGAAGGCTCACCGGTTTCTTCATGTGATCAAACAATTTCACCCCTCTGATCCATTCGTCCATCCAAAACTGTGTCTCCCGTCCCGTGCGCACCACCTTCGTCAGCCCTTGTTCAAGAACAGGCGAAGCAGCAGTAATCCCTCTCCACAAGTTGGAGGCATGTCGGGTATCACTAGAAAGCATCGTGTTATATTTCCTAACTAGCATGTCCACCCAGAGGCTATTCTGCTCCCTACGCATGCGCCACCCTAATTTTGCCATGAACGCTATGTTGACATCGTGCAGCCTCCTAAAGCCCAGTCCACCGCGGTCCTTCGTCTTCATGATCGAGTCCCAGTTCACCAAGCTAGGCTTCCTTGCGTCGCTAACCCCTCCCCACATGAACTTTCTTGTTATCGCTTCTAATTTCTGGCATACCCCTTTGGGCAAGAACACTGTCTGCATAGTATAGCTGGGGATGGCACAGAGCACCGATTTAGCTAAAGTAACCCGTCCCGCCAGCGTTAAGGTCTTGCTCCTCCATCCATCGAGCTTCGCTTCCACCCGGTTGATCAGTCCCGCAAAGGTTGCATTCGTTACCCTTCCGTGGATGGACGGGACGCCTAAATATCTGCCCAAGTCTGCAGTACTCGGGATGCATAGCTCTGTTGAAATGGCCTCCTTAACACTGGCCTGCGTATTTTTTGAGAAGAAAACCTGGGATTTACCCAGACTGATCCGTTGCCCCGACGCTGCACAAAAGTTATCCAGACATCTCTTAATAACCGCCACCTGTTCCAGCGAAGCCTCGGAGAAGAGAACCATATCGTCGGCAAAGCAAAGGTGCGAGAGAGTCGGGCCCGTTGCCGAGACACGAATGCCCTTCCACGCCCCTCTTCCCACCTCCGTTGATATATTCTGGCTTAGCCGTTCCATGCATAACATGAACAACGCCGGTGACATGGCATCGCCCTGACGGATCCCGCGTCCCGGCTTGAAAGTCTCCAGGCGCACCCCGTTCCAAACGATTTGCATTTTCGCAGTGCGGACACATTCCATAATGATGCGTGCCCAGTCCTCTGTAAAACCTGCATCAAGAATAGTATCATTAATAAAACTCCAAGATAGCCGGTCATACGCTTTTTCCAGGTCTATTTTAATTGCCATAAGCCCCACTCTCCCTTTCCTGGTCCGCATAGAGTGCATGACTTCTTGGTAAATAATAATATTGTCCGTGATCTGCCGTCCCGGCACAAAAGAGCTTTGAAAAGGGCCGATAATCCTCGGTAGAATATACTTCAACGGATTTGTTATCGTTTTCGTTATCACCTTGTATGATACGTTACATAAGCTAATTGGTCGGAACTGTTTAATGTTCTCGGGCATCGCAACCTTCGGGATAAGGACCAAAAGTGTGTCGTTGACCCCTTCCGGAAGCTTGCCTGTCTCAAAACCCGTCTTCACCAGATCAAACATGCAGTCCCCCACAACCTCCCAAGAGTGCTGATAGAAGGCCGCGTGGAGCCCATCCGGTCCTGGTGCTTTCATGGGGCTCATGTCAAAGACAGCACGTCGGACTTCCTCTTTGGTCACTGCCCTATTAAACATCCGCCACTCTCGCCTCCCTAATCTGGGGAACAGACCACTTGCCGCCCGTTGCATATTCCCCTCACCCTCATTTCTGAACAAGCTAACATAGAAGTCTCGCACATGTTGCTGAAGCGGCTCAACGTCAGTGATCCAGTTGCCCTCCGTATCCATCAAACTAAGCACTTTATTCCTTGATTTGCGAACCATCGTGGCGGTGTGGTAGTACCGAGTGTTTCTGTCCCCTGACGCGATCCACTCCTCCCTCGACCTCTGGAACCACATAAGCTCATCTTGGTAGAGCACGTTCTCTAATTCCCCACTCAACTTCTTCTCTAGCTGCCGAAGGCCCCTGTGGCTTGGGAAGACTGGTGTCGTTGGATTCCCCCAATGCGAGCAAGAAGATTCATTTTCCGACCCTCGATGTTGCCGAAGACCTCTCTGTTCCACACAGTGAGCTCGTCCCGAACCATGGCAATATTCCTTTGCAAAGCATGGCCAGGAGCCCAGGTTTTGTGAATGACCTCCTTAAACGAGTCATTGGTCAACCAAGCCGCCTGGAACCGGAACGTGTCAGGGCCTCTCGGGCCTCCTCTCCCATCAGAATGGAGCAAGATCGGCGTGTGGTCCGATGCCACTCGTGGCAAGTGTCTGACAGTTGCCTCAGGGAAACGGTGTCGCCATTCCACATTACACAGTGCCCTGTCAAGTCGGGCCCCTTTCTCAGGTTCCGACCCACGCATCCAGGTGAGTCGGGCCCCACTGAAGCCCATGTCCACGAGCCCTTCACTGTAAATCCAATCCGCAAAGTCCACACTGCGCTGGGGAGAGAACGCTGAGTAATTATGAGTTTCCCCTTCGCAGGTGACGGCATTAAAATCCCCTGCCGCTATCCAGGGCCCGAGGATGCTACGTTTTTGCGCCTGGAGCTCCATCCAGAGCCTTCTCCGAAGATGCTGAACCGGGCTGCCGTAGACGACTGCCATAGTCCATGGTGTACCTCCATTTTCCGCGACCTGCAATAAGATAAATTGAGGGTGAGTGTATTTTACTGATATATCCAGCGGTTTATTCCAAAGCACCCAAATTCCCCCACTAAACCCCACTGCTTCCACGCGAACCCAGTCCTCATAACCAAGCTTGGTGCAGATTTTGTTTGCCTGATCTCCAGATACTTTTGGTTCAACCAAGCCCAGGCTTGGTCGGTACGTTCTGATTAATTGTTTTAGGACACGGTGGAAATCTCTTCCTCCGGCGCCCTGGCAATTCCAAATGAGCCCTATCATTAAAACCAATAAAGAGGTGAGAAACGAAGAAACAAACTGAAAACAAAGGTAAAAACACAAAGAAAGCCGCGATCAGACAGTGGAGTCTAAATCCGCCGCGTCTCCCCCCGGGTCTCCGTCTCCTTCTATACCCCCATCACCGTCAACTTCCATGCCGTTGGGCTCATCACTAAAGTGTTCCCCCATGTTTTCCAGTTGGCACATGGGGTTCGTGTTGCATGCTGGTTCGGAAATAATTCGTTCTGTGTGAACAACCACTCCCCCCTGCGAGCCCCTAACCACCACATGCTCCTCCTCCTCAGCTGCTCTCCGCGAGATAACTCTAGACTGAACTCGAGTGTCTTGTCCGCCCACAGTCCTCGCGGCCGGGACCGTCTTCGCCACTGGTTGATTCGCTACCTGCTTCTCCGTAACTACCACGTTTGGCCTTCGCTGATTTCGTCCCTTGGTGGCCCTCTGATTCTCCCCCGATTTGTGTTTTTCCATTGCATGCGCACCTCCCTCCAATTGCTCCTCCTCTGTTTCGAACTCTGGCTCCGCGAGCAGGTCATCATGGACCTGTTCCTCCAGGTTTGCAATGGGCGCGAAACACGATCGGCCTTGCGGCGATTGACCGACCGCATGGTTGCCGCCTCCATTGGTAGTTCGTCGGCCTTTCCTTCTATCCTCCCTCGTCACTAGCATCCATGCCCCAAACGGCGCTTTGTCCTCCCCCGCTTTCGCATTAGAAACTGGCGACCCTTCTGCCGCCGCGGGCTGGTTTCCCGTATTTACGTCCTCAACATTCTGCATGGTCTCTCCAGCTGGCAGTACTTTTTTGTTTTCTGGGCAGGCTTCGTGACTATGGCCATACATGCCACAGCCGAAGCAAACCAGGTGTATCCCTTCATACGCTATGAACCGCGTCCGTTTCCTGAGTTTAAACTTTGAGATTAGCGGCTTAGTGAGATCGATTTCGACGCACATACGTGCGAATCTGCCCCGGGAAACCTGGCTTGTCGCTTGATCTACTCGAACAGGCCTCCCGATCTTCTTCCCAACCTTCTGCAAAAAAGATGCACTGTAATATTCGATAGGTAAGCAAGGAAAGCGTATCCATACCAGGACCTTCTCGGTCTTGTCTCTTATTGGATCAAAGTCCGGTGACCACTCCTTCACTATCAGATAGTGATCGAGTATCCTCCAGGGCCCCCCGAATTTCGCGTGATCTAGATCATCGACAGAGCCGAAACGGACAAGGAAGTAGTCATTATCGATCGCCACCATGTCCATGCTGCTTTTCGGTCTCCACAAAGCATTCAGCCGTCTGAGCAAGAACGAATTCCCCACTCGTTTCCCCAGACTTTGATAATCACCGCATTCCGCCATGACCGTCGAAGCTCCTCCTTCTCCCTGTTCGTCAACCTGATTACCGGACATAGTGGATCATCATCCTCTTCCGCATCTTCTCCCTCGGAGAAGCCGTCATCCTCCCCCTCATCATCGACCGGTGCAGCAGCCCCCGCAACAAGATCCCTGAAAGAGATCGGCTGCGGTTGATGTCGCGGAGCCTCCACCAGCGCTGTGTAGTCGTGGATCATGTCCATCGGCGTCTCCTGAACCATGTCCACCATCTCCAAGCCTGCGCCAGGAGTCGCACCGGCATTCCGCTTGTGTTTCTTGGTGCTGCGTGTGAGCAGATCGTGGTCCTCCGTCGACCTCTGGGAAGATAGCATCGTCGCCATCGTCTGCATGTACTCTCAAGAATGGAGAATTACTTTTAGTTGTTGTTGTTGTTATTATTATTATTATTATTATTATTATTATTATTGTTATTGTTATTGTTATTGTTATTGTTATTGTTATTGTTATTGTTATTGTTATTGTTATTGTTATTGTTATTGTTATTGTTATTGTTATTGTTATTGTTATTGTTATTGTTATTGTTATTATTATTATTATTATTATTATTATTATTATTATTATTATTATTATTATAGCACTATTAGTGCGTTTTTACATACCTAATGGTGCGGCCGCACCGACTGCGCATTAAGCTAAGGTATGACCGCATTTGAATTGACATATATATATATATATATATATATATATATATATATATATATATATATATATATATATATATATCTTCCCATGCGGTTAACACAAAAAGACGCACCTTAAGCATTCAAATGGCGCACCTCAAGTACACAAACCACACACCTTTAGTACACAAACAAAGCACCTAAATAACACAAATCATGCACCTAAAGTTTTTAAATTGCGCACCTTAAGTACACAAACCACGTACCTTAAGCATACAAACAAAGCACCTTAAGAACACAAAGCACGCACCTAAAGTTTTAAAATGGCACACCTTAGGTTTCAACAACTGACGCGCCTTTAGTATACAAATCACGCACCTCAAGAAGGAAAATAATGCACCTAAAGCTTTAGCACGACACATCTTATGTTTCAATAACTACCACACCTTAAGCACAAAAACCACGCACCTTAAGAAGGAAATCCACGCACCTAAAGCTTTAGATCTATGCACTTAAGTTTTCAACACCTGACGCACCTTAAACCACACAGTACAATAACCGCTCACCTTAAGCAAACACACGCACCTTAAGAAGGAAAATCACGCACATTAAATTTGACCTAGATGCAAAATAACCAAATTGCCACCACGTATTTTTTTATCACTGTTAATCTTGGACGTTGATTTAGGCAAGATCAATGGCTCAGATTTAGCCGCACAACCACACCTGAGGTAGCCAATCGCACGAGAACACATGTATGTATAGCCAAAAGTTTAAATGCGGCCGCTTGAAAAAGGCATCAATATTGTTAACAAAAGGCACCAATAGTGTTAGGAAAATTCACAAAAATGAAATGCATAAATACACCAAAAAAGTGCATAACATACCAAAAAAATGCACCATTAACTCCCCTAATTGTGCATCTCTGAACACTATGTGGTGCTTTCATTCATACCTAATGGTGCGTTTTTGGTGATGTGTACCTAATTTGTGTTTTTTTTTTATTTTGCATTTCCAAACATTGTTGGTGCATATTTGCATAACTATTGGTGCAGCCGCATTGTCCGCACGGGAAGGCGAGGCCGCACCTGAACTCTACTATATATATATATATATATATATATATATATATATATATATATATATATATATATATATATATATATATATATATATATATATATATGTAGATGAAGGATCAGGTGTAGTAATAGGCTTCAAGTAAAAGATGGGGTTTAATCCCATCCTTTGATTTAATCAAAATCAACATCCCAAATTAAAGAAAACTTCAAAAAAAAAAACACAATGGCAATTTGGGCATTTTCTGTATTGTCGAAAGTCAAGGTGCGTAGATGACGGTCGCTTTTTCTTACGGTTCTCTCTTTACAAAGCATCATCAAAAGAGTAAGTGTGCAAGGGTTGTGTTGGTGAATGGAAATGATGTAAAACGGGGAGTGAGAACCACCCCGAGTATCGTTCGCGTGTGGATGACAAATTGGAGTTCGCCAGGTGCCGTTGTTTATCCAGGAAAGCTTCAACAAAAGATTATTATTATGAAAAAGAAAGAGAAGTGATCATAAGAGTGAAGGTAGCACACTAATGCGAATAGTTCGTAAATAAACAAAGGGAGATATGGGGTTGGGTGGTGTATTTTGCGCATATGTATTAGTTTATGGTAAAGGGATTTAGGGAGGAGTGATTGGTGTGACTCTTGTGGTCCAATGCTAGTTTTAAGTGTATCACCTAACCCTCTAGGCCAAAAACATTTGTCCTAGGCATTTAATCAAATACATTGCTTATATTCCTTCCTAGGCCTTGCCCTCTCGGATCGAAGGGCGGGGAATATGGACGACAAAGACTACGATCAATTACGATCTCTCATCAACCAACCTCTCTCAAACACCCTCACTCAATGTGGCCATCAAAGAATGAGGAGCAACAAAGATATCATCCACAACAAGAGCATTCAACATAAATCACAAATCAAATCCTTAGCAATGTAGGATCATAATACATAATTGCAAAATACACTTCCAACCTCACAAGATTTTAGCCACACATCATAGATTCAAGAGATACAATAAGAGATATTAAGCTAGCACAATCCATTAAATTGAAAACAATTCTAGAAATTAAATGAGGGAGAAAGGATTGTTACCAACAAATGATCTCTAATTGCATCTATCTCCTTCAACTTGGTGAGAAAATCTTCACAAATCTCCAATAGACCTAAAACGCTAAGCTCTCTAAAAATGATTCTCTCTCTAAAATTAGGAATTGTAAAAGTATAGAATGAAGAATGATGGAGAGAAGGGAGAAAAATCTCGCCTAAACCCCTGGGGAGCAATTCGGCACCCCATTTACGCCGCGCTCACAGCATGACGCGGGCGTAAATGGGGAATAAATCCTTCCGCGCACGCTCTCTCCCGGCTACTTAGTCACGCCGCTCCTTACGCCGTGAGGACGATGTGGGGAACCCTACGCTGGACATTACAGCGTAAGGCTGGTTACGTCAATCGTTATACCCTACACCACGGCGCGCGTAGCACTGTGCGCCGCGCGCCTCCCAAAACGACGTCGTTTTGGGAGGCACGGTAGGAAGTTGCTGTGATTATGTAAATTTGTTCACACAATTATGTATATTTGTTCATACAATTATGTATATTTGTTTATACAGTTATGTACATTTTTTATACAATTATGTACATTCTTTTTATACAATTATGTACATCCGAATTAGAAAATTTGTGTGTATTATGGTAAGAGTTGATGTGTATTATGTTAAAAGTTTATGTTTATTATGTATTATGTTAGATTATGTGTATTATCTTTTAAAAAGAGTATGTATATTTTGTTATATAATTATGTACATTCATGTATACAATTATGTGTATTCTAGTATAACATTATGTACATTTTTTAATAGGGGTTTTTTTTTAAAGAAAAAATAACTGCCATACACTGGGGCAGGAAATTTAAAAAAAAAAAATTAAAATTAAAACGATGTCGTTTTGCATCTGGGCACACACTGCAACGCGCGCCTTGGTGTAGGATATAAATTGCCTGGTTACGTTGCCTGTCACGCCGTGACGGGCGCGTAACAGCGGCTGCTGTTGTTTTTGTAAGCCAAATTTGACTGCTTCAATGTCCGAGTTGGCTTCCGTGTCTTCACCAACATTTTAGCTATTCAAATTTCCTTTCTTATGCTTCTTGAATCACCTTGATCGGACAGCCCTAGCCTTAGCTATGCTCTGAAGACTAAAATGCTGCCGGAATGTCCTGATTTTGTCAATATTTTGCTGTTTTCACAAAATGTAACCTTAATTAGTCCATGTGTCTCGTTTTAATCAAAATAAGCTATTTTAAATACAAAATAGACTCAAATGACTTTAATTTAGCAAAATATAGCTCCTAATTTCCGTATAAAAATGACAGAATTTAACACTTTAGTTTTGCTTGTCCTCAAGCAAGACATGGATCAAATAAGAACATAAGTGTTAAAATGTGGCTCGCAAAATTTTCTACACTTAGATGGGAAAATAATGTAAGGGTAGGCATAAGAATTAAACGCGTGATATTCCTTATATTAGCCAGCAAATATGGCAAACAAAATTCGACATAGTCAATTTGGGAGATGTTTGAGAAAATATAAACCCCTTAAAAGTTCTAGAAATAAGCTCATAAAGGGGATCACACCTATCTAACAGTTCAAGTATGCATTCCGAAGTTGGATTTCACCTCTGATTTTCCAAGGGCCTTAAGCCGATCCCACTAGTGGAAATGATGTGCACACACCAACCCCTTTTCCATCCTTATTCACCAAGACCCTATGAAATGAAGTGAAGTATGGCATGAACCGCTCTTCGCTATTTTGGCTTAAAGCGGGGACTCTATTTTCTCATCCCCCCTAGAATCGTTACTAGGCGACCCGACTTCACATGGAGCTCCATGCTTTTTTGAAGGTCTGTGCTATGGGTGCCCAGTTTCTAGCGGGGTGGTTTCCCTCCTATCTCTCTCCACATCTCCTAAGACATCGCCACTGGGGAAACCGACTTCACGTAGAGTCCTACGCTTTTTCGAAGACAGTGCAATGGAATTACCCCAAGCCCTAGCGAGATGGCTTACCTCGTTTCTTATCTCAAGGAGTGGCCATAATTTTTGGTCTTGCCTGTTTCACTTTCATCATTTCCCTGGTTCAATCTCTCATGCCTTTTTCTTTGGGGCTAGGGAAATTTTTCTCTCAATACT